GAGGTCATACTGCCTCCGTCATCAGGGCGATGAGTATGAAGATTTCTGTCTTCTGGGTTGTTGCGCTGTGTAGTCTGGCCGCTGTTGATGAATATTCATCGCCCTGATGACGGAGGCAGTATGACCTCTGAAACGTTGGTTAACATCGACCAGACTACACAGTGCAACAACCCAGTAGACGGAAATCTTCGGTTCGTTAATTGTTAAGCACAGCTGTAGACTAAGGACGCTCTAGTGACATGACAAACAATAAACTTCTGAACTCAAGTTCTTTCAGACACTATATCTCAATTGGGAACACCTAGTTACTTAAACCAAAAGCAGTGAAACGTTAGATAATTTTCCTTTGTGTAGAGAGTGGAAGTTGCGTGATTCTGCTTTCATGTCGTGAAAGTAACAACTATGAAGGAGTTGACAGAGACGGGAGACACATTAAGAACAGAAAAGAGGAAGGGTTATCTTGTCTGCTACTTTACTAAGTAAACATTCACTGTTATTTGCGCCAATATTTTTTCTTTCGAAACAGCGCGGTAGAAAGGAATATTTATAATTTCCCCCCCGCAAACTTTCCAGCTGTACAGACCCTCTGTGTCAGATTCAGTGTGCGAGGATCGATACTCATACTGTAAAAGGTTCGATCTTCTGAGTCGTAAAACCGTTTTCTTTTACCCGATGCACGTTAAGTCCACAATATTCAGTGAAATTGGAGAGATTCTTGTTCATATCTATCGAATGCTTTCATATCATAAGAGAAGGTGGGTGAAGAAGTGGAGAGAGAGAGGACGGAAGATGCTGGAGGTACAGAAATATTCTGCAGGCGGAAAGCAACTGGAGATGAGTGCATATGTGGAGAAGAGGAAAGATAAAGATGAGCGACGAATGTAGCAAAAAAGGGAAAGTGAGACAGAGATAAATACATTTCTGACGTTATGATGAGAGAGGGTAGCTGTAGTATTTCCTACTCTGTGCAAGATTAACTAAAGGATATATTCCACTTCTCGCTTCTTTAGAAATACAGAGCTGGAAGCTTGGAACAATGAAAGGGAATGAGGAGTGATGTAAAAGGGACCTCAACAGTTGACGGTAATGATATATATAGTTATAAATTTAACACTTATTTCAATGCAGTAGTTTAAAAAGTGAGAAAATTTTGAGGAAATATATTCACGTGCATCCTTTCCAAAACTTTTGAATATGGAGTTGTGTACGGATTTTCGCTTTGTAGATTGGTTCGACACCTGCAAATAAAACAAAATAATATTTTTGCGTAGAATGGAAGCCAATAGAATTCCTCAAAAAAATGTATAAATACAAACCTAAAGGCAAACGAGACAAAGGCAGCCCACAAAAACGTTGGAATTACCAATTTTAACTGCAGAGTACTGTATCCTATTTACTCCAACAGAAAATTCCTTGGAGACGGAACAGTCTATAATAGGCTAAACCATGGAGATGATGATGAATATTTTTGTGTCATGAACAGAATACGAACAACGGTTTGTTAAGGGTACGTTCAAAAGCCAAGGGAGAATTTCTGCGTTTCATCTTCGGGGCTGAAGATGACCTTGAAAATGGAGTCAGTAATACTTTTCAGAATTTATATATTCATAACAGTATCAAATAAACGAACAATATTCAGATGCAATGTAAAATGTAGTCCTAAGTGAAATTTATGTGGCAGTTCCCTTTTGTCGTTATGAATATCCTAGCAAAAACACGATAGACAGACAAATATGAACGGGTCCATGTGGTGTTCCCCGCTAACGTTTGGGCGTGAAGAACATATATTTTATATCAAGTTTATTTCGTGGATTAAAAATGGCTAGATAGAAGGTCTGTAGGCTAAATAAGCGTGTGTAAGAGAGTTTTTGAAACATTACATCTTTTATTCAAAAATTAGTAAGATAGTTTTCATAATTGTTGATAATGGATAATATTTGTTTTATTATTTAGTCTGTATTCAATATAAATGAATAAAACAAAATGAGAAGATTTTTATTACCCGCTAATGGTTTATTTTAACGATTCAACTGTTTAGCAAGGAGTATAACGATTAGAAAATGTAACTGGCCTTCGACATACTCTACAAAATTTCATGTTTTGCAGACAAACAAAAGAAACAGAGAAACACAGAGAACAAAGCACAACCAAACCTGAAGAGCAGAGTCGAGGAAGTTTAGCGAGCTTTGATCTTCTGGACTCCGAGCCCTCCTTTAATTGAGCTTCAAGTGAGAGACTTTTCGTCTTTGGGTGCTGTAACAATGGACGAGAAACCTAACTTTGCACGATACTTCAATCACGTGCTTCTGTGCCTCAAAAGACGACTATAAATTTCGCTTTCTCAGTTGTGAATCTAATTTGGCAACTGGCGTAAGGAAGATTTAATAAAATCATCCAGTGAATAAATACATTAAATACGCTCCATAAACAACTCTGATAAATTATTTCAAGTACACTTCCCATGTGCATACACTTCTACAGAGTAGCAGTTATAATCACACATGTACAAATTTTGGCCTGGCTCTTTTTATGAAGTCACTGTTACTTGACCTCTGCATCAATGTGAATTGATCATGCGGCCCAAAGTCTGCTCGTTATGATTCCTAATGGACCGTGTTAACACGACTGCATGGAAATTTAAGACATGATAACTAGGAAAGCAAGAATAGTTTCCTGCTAAAGGTCGTAGCCGGGTTACATCATGACTGGAGAGAAGATTGAAAATTAATTATTTTCAGCAATATGAAAACAAGGGCAAATACATATTTTATTATTCATCTTCAAGTTATAGATATCTACCATAAATTTTTTTACATTTTAAGATTCAAAGCAAATATCAGACGTAAATTAAATCTGATGCTCTGTAACGAAATTGTATTATTACAATGACAAACGTCCTGTGCACTATCCATCTTCATAATTTTAATTAAAAACATAGTTTAAGGGAATGTAATCTGTCTCCGTCATCAGGTAAAAATTATTCTGTTGGGCCCAACAGAGTAGGTTTTGCCTGAGAATAAAGACAGATTGCAGTCTCTGGGACGTCATTTTTAATTAAAATTAGAACGATGGATAATGTCCGAGAAGTGTGTAATTATTATCAGATTCAATCACCGGTTTTTTTGAGAAAATGCATTTTTAGGTTTTGCTGTCATTCTCGTATGAGGTACTGATGACGTATTATGACTTTATAGCTAGAAAGTTTTCAGAGCACTAGAAAAAGCGCTGTAGTGCTAATCAGCAGCTTCCCGGAAAACCCTTCGTTCCAGAACCACTTCGGCACTCACCACTCTTTTCGTCATTTCCCTTCGTCCCTGTACCAGTTCTTTGCCCCATTTATTTCTCAATCACTGCGGAACATTGATTTTTATCCATTGCCACTCTTCGCCTCATTAACTCGCATAAGTAACTTCTACTTCCTTTTCTTTGCAAAGGAGCCACTTTAATCTTCACAAAGTGCAGCCTATATCATGGGAATGAACACTCATCAAACACTTTATTCAATTACCCGCCTCATGTTTTGTTTGCTTTCAGCTACTCTGTGTCTCTGGCATGTATTTCTGAAATGAAATATACGAATTCAAAATGTGCTCTCTGTATGTCATTTTATTCAGGGCTTAAAGCAGTTGATTATACTATTTCGTTTGAACTTGAACGAATTGATTTTCGAGTCCGTTTGTTGGGAGAATTCACTCTAAAATGTTTTGCCTAGTCCATGAGAGAAAACTAGTGCCCTTTTATGGAGGTATAACAGTGATATTTCATGTTGAAATCATAAATACCAGAAAGCGTATTTTGGGTCTGTCCCTAGTATACCAGTTTATTTGTATAACACACACAAAAACCTTCATATTGTCCCATTTTTCTTTTCTCACACCCAAATGTCTGCCGAAGTAAAAACTTATCTTTGTTATTTCCTTTTTCTCCTCTGTGTTTATTGATTGAATTCTACGTGTCCTTTCAAGCTCTTATCGATTTATTTTTATTTCCTATTCTCCCTCCACCCCCAACCCCGGTTTAATGTAAACCGAGGTACACACGGAAATTCAACAGGCCGGTCTTACCTTATAAATTACCGATATGTATTGTGGCATATGTGGAAGTTAACATGCGATGCCTTGCCCCCTTCGGCACCCGTGCCACAGTGTGGAACTATGAACATCACTAAGCCGATCAAGGAACCGGTAGCTATTAGACTACGCTTGTGGGTAGAGTCGTTTCATTGTTATGTTATTAATGATCACCATTTGACTAGGTTAGGGTATACAAGATCGAATGAGATGACAATATCATCACATATGATTATTATTAGGCAAGGATTTAAAAGCAGGCGGCCCTGGCTAGTGTGGAACCACTGTACGGACATGCACCACGAGAGACTGATTGAAACATCGAAAATCCTCTTGTAGATGTCGGTAATGTAACTGAGATTCAGACTGATCGAGGTGACAATATTATAGCTAATTTTGAGGTAGGCCTGTTTTAATATATATATATACATATATATATA